GCAACCAGGTCTTGACAAGGTGATGGGATACCTGTATGAAGACCGAGGGGAGGGGGAGTGGAATTGAGGGAAGAAAAAGGATGCAGCTGCTTTAAACTCCATCACTAAGGCTTCTTTCACCCACGAGGGAAAGCCATACCATAAAGACGTCAGGAAAAGCATGGGTGGGCTTAAGGGACAAAGGTGTCCATCCCTAAGATTCTGGAAAGAGTACAGAGAAGATCAACAAGGGTGATTAGGGGACTGGAGAACGGTTGCAGGAATTGGGTATGTCTAGTGAAAAGAAGGACGAGGGGTGATGTGATACCAGTGTTCCAATATCTCAGGGGTTGCCACAAAGAAGAGTCAGTCAAGCTATTCTCCAAATTATCTGGGCTCAGTTGTAGTCATAAATCAAGGACTACCTGTATTGCATGCATGGCATGTGTTTATTTACATTTGATTTCTAATTTCCAATTAAGCTCACACAGGTCCAGACAGGGACAGCCAAAGAGCCAGATGTTTGCTGGGGGCTGTAAAAATGCCACAGGTCTGTTGCAGAGTCTATTAGCAGGATCTTGAAAGCTTGAAGCTTCCATTACTCTGTTGAAGAACAGAAATCAAAGTGCTGCTGTTCTGTGTATTTTTTTCCCACACTTCCTCCTTTTCCAGGGCTGAATAATAATTTTCCTCCTCCCATCTTTGTCTCAAGACCAGACCTGAATTCTTCTGCAAAAGGACCGCAGTGGCAAACTGCCCAAGTCCTTCTTGCCTTTAACATGCCTTGTCACAAATTGTCAAATGTCTTTCTACTAATCTGCATCTTCAAAATGGCAATCCCCAAGTCGGTCTCTTGCAGTGAGCAACGAGCGATTTCCCCTTGGTTCAGTTCTTTTATTACTCTTTTGTGTCGTTCTGCTCAATTCGCTTCTCTTGCCTAATTCCAATTTAACTAGGAGAATTTATAAAATTAATTCCAGTATTGAGTGTTCTGTATGGTCTTTTTGCCGCTTAGTTACTCCTATTCAGGAGCAACTTCCAGGGATTCCCTATCCCCATTACTGATGATTGCATGCACATTGATAAAATAATACAGGATACTATGGGGAGAGAGGAGAAGCAAAGTCACTGTGTTTATGCAGACAATTGCAACAAGGTTTTTTTGTGCAGCGAATGTCGCTGCACAATGGGAAAGGAACGCATCGAAAGAACTGATGATCCAACTGATATATCTGAAGGATGTAGACAATAGAAAAACTGCTATTCCAATGCATTGGCCAACATTTAGACGTCTGGCTGGATTGTGGTCATCTATGTTGCTGAACTATAATTCCCAGCATGCCTCCCATTTGGCCCTGCAGGTAGGTGTTGCTGGGACCTGAAGTTCACTGACATTTAGAAGACTACAGATTACCTGCTATGGGGACATAGGGATTGTGGCTGGACTGAAAGTAGTGTCTTGCTTTGGGTTCTTACGTGCATAATTGTAAACGTAAAAGCTGAGGTTCATAGCATGCCATACAGGTCCTCCTCGACTTACAACCACAATGGAGCCCAAAATTTGTGTTGCTAAGTGAAACATTTGTTAAGTGAATTTTCCCCCTTTTACGACCTTTCTTGCTGCAGTTGCTAAGTGAATCACTGCAGTTGTTAAATTAGTAACACTGTTATTAAGGGACTCTGGCTTCCCCATTGACTTTGCTTGTCAGAAGGTCGCAAAAGGCGATCACGTGACCCCAGGACACCGCAACTGTCATAAATATGAGTCAGTTGCCAAGTATCTGAATTTTCATCACATGATCATGGGGACGCTACAACGGTCATAAGTGTGAAAAACAGTCATAAGTCACTTTTCTCAGTGCCGTTGTAACGTCAAACAGTCACTAAATTTATAAGTCGAGGACTACCTATAGCAGTGGTTCTCAACCTTTTTAATGCCGCGACCCCAACCGGTCGTAAGTCGAGGACTAAACCGGTCGTAAGTCGAGGACTAAACCGGTCATAAGTCGAGGACTAAACCGGTTGTAAGTCGAGGACTACCCAACCGGTCGTAAGTCGAGGACTTTCCCTGCCCGGGAGCGCCGCGCATGCGCGGTTCCGCCCCCTGCGCCGGCCGAGGCGTAGCTGGGAAGCGGCAGAGACGGAGCAGGCCGACCATCAGCTGGCCCAGCCCAAGGGAGGTAAGGCACCTGCCGGAAAAGGGGAAAAAATGGCGGACAAAAAAAATGGCGGACAAAAAAAATGGCAGACAGCCTTGCTTGGCGACTCCCATGAAATGGTCGATCGACCCCAAATGGGGTCCCGACCCACAGGTTGAGAACCATTGACCTATAGCATGCTAAGTCAATGAATGGGCCCCCAGAACATGCTGAGTCCCCTTTTAGCCTAGTCTAGGATGCTGCGCTAAATTTAGCTTAATCTCTGCTTGGTGTGAGATCCTGAGCCACAGCATCAAAAATCCTATAGCTGCTCTAACTAATCAACTCCACTGTTCAACTGAACCTGCAGGAGGGAAGATTTTGTTCATCAAATCTACCCTTTTTAAACTGAAACCTGTTCAGTCTTGCCTTGCTTTCTACAGTGTTCTTCTTCTATATCAGACCTTTAAGGATTCCAGAAGACCTATTGTGGATAACTGTATAGACAACGTTGCATTCGGATCTGATAGGGAAGAGGGGTTTGGGAAAATGGTGGTGCGTGACTGTAGCCCTTTCTGTGACTCATTAAAATAGTTGCATCTGCATCCAAAAAGAATTTGAAGCACTGCACAGCCCTACTTTCTTACCTCCACTCCAATTTTTCTTCTGGAGGCTAAACATGCCCAGTTTCTTCAATCTGAGATTTGACTGTCATACCTATAAGCCATCTTCACTGTATTTCTCTCACTCTCTCTGGTCTGTGACTTTTAACTGGGTGAAATGGTGCATCAGAGGGCAAAACATTTTCAACCAAGGTACCTCAAATAGGCTGATTTACAAAATGTGTCAAAAATCTGGGATCCGTGACTCCCATGGAGCTAAACTTTGGCAAATTTTATAAAACATTTTACGACACAAACATTATCATAAAGCATTTTATAACATAATACAGAATGTCACAAAAACATCGCCTCTTTCTCTTGAAAGGAGAAAAAAAAATCAGAATGAAAGAATATTTCGTCCAAAATCAAGCTAGTTAGAATGTACGTTCTTCCGTATACCTAACAGTGTGGTCGGAGAGCCATCCGGCATCACAGTTGTCGTAACCATCCTCAAAGGCCTCCTCAAGATGAGCAGGGGAAGCAATGACCGCCGAGTTCTCCTCGCAGGCCTTCTGCGCCTCTGAGAAAGTCAAAGCGTAGCGGTTGCTAGCCGCACGGTAGTGAAAAACCACACCTAGGTAGGGTTGAAAAGCGAGAAGACAAGGAGATGTGAGTTAGAGGCATACAGAAGGTCATTAACAGGTAGGGCCAGTTTGGTAGGATGGTTAAAGGCATCAGACTAGAATGTCATGGTTCCGAAAGAGGAAACTCTTCAAAGAACTTTGAGGCATTGTTTACCTTAAAGAATCTTTAATCGAGCAGCATAGCTTTGGTAGTACATAGTTGAAGCCAAAATCTGACTTCCCCTCCCTTCAGCACATAGATCAAAGCACAATTCCTTCCTACAACTAACTGTCATAAATCACATTCTCCAATTAGTTTGAAATGCTGGCTTCCCGCTCAGTTTCCTCTTCCGCCATTCTTTATCAGCTCTTGTTACGATATTGTATGTCTAATTCCCATCGAATTCCTCTCCCTCCCCCCAGCATCATCTAACTCTAAGAGTAAAACAACAGAAAGAAAAAGGCTGCATCTCCATCATTGTCAAAGCAAGAACATCCAATGTTAGCAGCGTTGACATCGAAACTGGGAGATGGTGAATTCTAGTCTAGATTTGGAAAATAAATCCTGCTGGGTGAATTTGGACCATGACTCTCAGCTCAACTTCCCAAGAAAACTGCAGAGATTTTCCAGGCAGTTGCCAGGAGTAAAAACAAAACAAAACAAAAAACTTGCTAGAACCAAAGAAACGAAACAAAACAGAGCAGCACTTAATCAATCTTGGCTGACAAAACAGATAGAGGGCGTCTAACTGTTCTTGGCTGATCTCTAAAGCTAAGCAGGGTCAGTCCTGGTTAGTTCTTGGATGGGAGAGCGTCTGGCTGAATGGGAAATAAAACTCTTGGGAAAAGGCTAGGTCAAACCACTTCTGCGCTGCAGTGTTGCTAAGATATTTGCCATGGAGGCAATCACACACCTCAAGGGCATCTTCTCTCCTTTTAATAAAATATTGTGAAATACAACCTTTGACCATCGCTGTCTGAATTCTTTTTGAAGGATCTCTTGCACACTGATTGAGCGTGGCACAACCTTCTCCCCCCTTCTCCCTTTTGTGTCATGTCTCTTACTTAAAGAGCTCCATGACAGAGGTTGTCAAATTATTGAACTTCACAAACCACCATGAAGTCCTTTAATTAGCATATAAGCGAGGCTCAAAGTCTACATGCAATCACAACCAGATTGTTTTCTGTAGTTTTTCATTAATGCACACCCACACACCCCTTTGATATAAAGGCAGGGGAGGAATATGATTAAACCAATAGAAATGAAAAGCTGAGACAGACTTGTTCCTCATGAGGCCCTGTATAAAATTCAGGGGAAGGGGGGGGGGGGAAAGAGAGAGTAAATTATTAATCATTTGGGCCTGCCAACTCCATAAATGTGCAGCTGAAGGGATCGGCATTAAATCATGATCAGTCTGGCCACATCTTTTAAGAGGCAGAAACATTTTTAAAAGACTTTGAATGAATTGAGCTGTGGCTCCTGAAAGCTTCGGCCTTGGGAAAAAAACGTTTAATTGAAACAGTGCGGCCAGATTCCCTCATACACGTAATCCTTGACTTACAACCATCCGTTTAGTGACCGTTCGAAGATACAACGGCACTGACAAAAGTGACCTATGATCGTTTTTCATACTTACAACTGTTGCAGCATCCCCATGGTCAGGGGTAGGCAACCTTGGCTCTTTTATGACTCGTGGACTTCAACTCCCAGAATTCCTGAGGCAGCCATGCTGAGGGGAAAGGGAGAGGTTTCCAAGCTGAGCCATGCTGGCTCAGGAATTCTGGGAGTTGAAGTCCACGAGTCATAAAAGAGCCAAGGTTGCCTACCCCTGACAATGGTCGTGATTAAAATTCGGAGGCTTGGCAACTGGCATGTACTTACGACAGTTGCAGTGTGATCACCTTTTGTGACCTTCTGATAAGCAAAGGCAATGGGAAAGCCAGATTCACTTAATGACTGTTACTAACTTAATAACTGCAGTGATTCACTTAACAACTGTGGCAAGAATTGTGGTAAAATAGAGCAAAACTCACTTAAGAAATGTCTCACTTAGCAACATAAATTTTGGGTTCAATTGTGACCATAAATCGAGGACTACCTGTATATGGCATTAATGCAATGCTTCCCAATTTTCTTCCTTTATTATTCAAAATTGCTTATCAGAAAGTCTTAATCAAACTTCGAGGATCGACTGCAAGGCCTTCCCTTCAGCACCGCTGTAACTTTGACCAGAGGCTGAACGAATGGTTGTAACTCAAGGACTACCTGTATTATAAAAACATTATCACTGAATGACCTTTTATGTCATTTCAACAGATTACTGTTGGTAATTTCATCAATTTTCATCTACGTAGGAATCCTTTGGGGGATTTTTGAATGTATTTTAGTACACATGGCAAAATTAAATCAGTTTAAGTCAATTAAAAACACCTGTTGTGTTTGGGTAATGGGCTCCTGTGTCGTTATCCAAGGAAAAAACAATTTTACTCAATTTTAGGTAATTTACACAGGCATGGGAAGCACTGCATAATAGAATCTTGTCACATCGTCTTTGGTGATTATTTTGCAGTTTTGATCAGTGTTTAGAAGCATGTTTGCTTCCCTTCCATCAGTCACCAAATATTTCTCATATCCTTCTGAGAGACATAAAACAGAGCCCTGCAACTGTCTTCCCCCCCCTCCTTAATATATATATTAAGATAGATAGATAGATAGATATAGATATATGTAGATAGAGATAGATAGATAGATAGATAGATAGATAGATAGAGAGAGAGAGAGAGAGAGAGAGATAGATAGATAGATAGATAGATATAGATATTTTGATATGATATATAGAGATAGAGATAGAGATAGAGATAGAGATAGAGATAGAGATAGAGATTGTGATAGAGATAGAGACAGAGACAGACAGACAGAGACCAGACAGACAGACAGGACAGACAGACAGGCAGACAGACAAAGAGATGTACAGAGCCCTTTTCTTACCTGTGACTTCCAGAGGGACCAAGTCTTGCTCATCATGAATCCCAGTGACAATCTCACAACGATAAAGTCCCGCATCGCTGGCCCGAGCAGACAGAAACAAGAGGGTGGCGTTTTCTCGGTGGTGGGGATATCCGGGCAAGGCGATTCTACCCTCGTAGTTTTTGGAGATCTTCACCACGTTATCCTTGGCTACCAGCACGGAGAGATCTTCCGGCTGTCCGGTGGCAGACTGTACTTTGCTCCACTTGATACGGGGGGGATCAGGCCGTTCACCGGGGTTTGGGGGGATGGAGCCTTGCAAGAGAAACAGGCACGGCAGGGAGACCGGTTCTGCCAGCCCGACCCGCACTGGCTGGTGGCTGACTTTGTTGATATGGATCACTTTACCAGGGTCCTGGGAACCTAGGGCAGAAGATGGCCATGAATTGGAGGAGATACATGCCTAAATCTGAAATGATTTCTTCCTGAAAGACCAACCTCTCAACCTGATTAACACACAGACCTGGCTGTTTTCATACATAGGTAGTCCTTAACTTACGACTGTTCATTTAATGATTGTTCAAAGTTACAATGGCACTGAAAAAAGTGACTTATGACCGGTCCTCAAACTTATGATTGTTACAGGTAATCCTTGACTTACAACCATTCATTTAGTGACCACTGAAAGCTACAACAGCACTGGAAAAAGTGACTTATGACCATTTTTCACACTTATGACCATTGTAGCCCATGGTCACGTGATCAAAATTCAGATGCTTGGTAACTGGCTTGTATTTATGACCATTGCAGTGTCCTGGGCTCATGTGATCTCCTTTTGCGACCTTCTGACCAGCAAAGTCAAAGGGGAAGCCAGATTCACTTTACAACTGTGCTACGACAACTGTATTACAACAATTGGTCGTAAGTCGAGAACTACCTGTACAACATCCTATCAGTCATGTGATCAAAATTTGGGTGCTAGGCAGCAGGCATATATTTATGACAGTTGTAGCATCCTGGGATCACGTGATCACCATTTGCAACTTTCCCAGGGGGCTTCCAACAAGCAAAGTCAATGGGGGAAGGCAGATTTGCTTAACAACGTTGTGATTCACTTAACAATCAGAAAAAGTTGTAAAATCAGGCATGGCTCCCTTAATGATCACATCACTTAGTCTTCAATGTTCTGTTCCCAACTGTGATGGTTAAGTCAAGGACTACCCATAACTTGTTATTCCCTCCACAAATCAACTACTTTTATCAGATTATACAACAGGCTAAGACAATGTGCTGAACCACAGAGGAGATAATACCCCGCTTTTATCTTAGCCTAGCCTGTTGTACGAACCCAGGGAAAAATTTTCTGCCTCAAAATTCTGCTCAGGACCAGGCAGAAGTTTGAACATGATCTTTTTGCACTTTCTGTGGTAGTAGATTTCAACTGGAGTCACTCCTCAGAGTTTAATATATCAGTATTTCTTCTTTCCACCCTAAATTTAGTTAAAGACTTAAAATATGTATAAATCAGATCTCTCAGCCCCCTCCCCTGCCACAGATTATGGGTGCACTTTTTCACAGTGATGAAGAATCTGTTTTCCTCTCTCCAGACTGGGCTAGGCTGAAATCAATCATCACTGCACAGAGGCAGTTATTTGCTCGTCCTTCTGATTGATTTTTCTCTGCAGCCAACTGGACCCAATTATAGCAAAAGGAGGCAAATGGGAAGGAAAGAGGACGGGAAGGGAAACTGCTCCTCTTGGGGACCTAACTGATGGGTTTTGCTGTCTCAGCAATCCCATTGAGTGTAATGAGTAACAATAATTCTAGCCAAGGAGCTACATTCAAAGTCCAGGTTCACTGACGCTAGAAATCAAGCTAAATGAACTTGATCAAGAATAATAAGTACTGTAATCACTTATTTTTCTAGAGAAATTCTACCTATAAAAATAGTGTGGAGCAGTAGTTACAGCAAGGGGTTGCCCCTCCCTCCAGCTAAATTCCCAAAGTTCCCTGAAAGTGATCTCTGGCCAAGGGTGATCAGTCTTTCCCCTTTCCCCCCAGGAATCTGCTGAGCAGAATGAAAAAAGACGAGTCTTTGTTTTAGACCTGCCCAACACTGGCTGAGGCTCCCTCCACCATATGGCCCTGGAGAATTTACCTCCAAGAGATTGTGATCCTCCATTAGGGTTACTAGACATCTGGCAAAAGGAACATAAAATATAAAATAATAGGATTGGAAGGGACCTTGGAGGTATTTTGTTGAATCCCCTGCTCAAACAGAAGATCCTATACCAGTGATGGTGAACCTTTTAGAGACCCAGTGCCCAAATTGTAACCCAAACCCCACTTATTTATCACAGGATGCCGGTTGGCGTGGACGCGGTGGACATGGCAGACTGGGTGGGCGGGGCCAGGGTGGTGGGGGCCAGTTCCTCGCCCTCTCCGGGGCATGGCACACGTGCCCACAGAGAGGGCTCTGAGTGCCGCCTCTGGTTCGCCACCACTGTCCTATACCGTTCTCGGCAAATGGCTGCCCAGTCTCTTCTTGAAAACCTCCAGTGATGGAGCACCCACAACTTCTAGAGGCAAATCATTCCACTAATTAATTGTTCTTCCTGTCAAGAAACATCTCCTTAATTCTTGGTTGGATCTTTCTTTAATGATCTTCTACTCGTTACTTTTCCTCCAGCCCTCAGATCAGTGGTGGGATTCAGCCGGTTCGCACCACTTCGGTAGAACCGATAGCTAATTTTTTGTTGCCCAGGCCCAGAATGGACTTCTGGAAGCAGCATCCACACAGAGAACCGGTTGTTCACATATTTGAATCCCACCATTGCCTCAGATACTTTCGAGAATAGGTCAACCAACCCACCTCTTCTCTGTGACAGCCATTCAAGTACCCCTTTTTGTTCTAATCTCCTCTGTCCAACAGGCATAGCCTTGCAGTCAAACATTGTCCATTTTCTGAGTGTCTTATTTATTTATTTAGTCATTTATATTTATTTGCTTCTTTCTTCCTTTTCCTTGTCCATCAACAGACTCGACAGCCTCGATTTATGTTATTCAGCTGATTTTCTGATTCCAGTAATTGGCTTCAATCCAGCCCTTTCAAATCTATAATCACTGTAATCTGCAGATCACATGACATGTCATACGATTCTTTGGTGAAATTTGAAAAACACTTTGTTGTCAATCCTATATTACCGCTAGCATAGGTTTTTGAAGATAAAGATTTGTTGGAAAAATATGATGCTGATAACCTTTATTGTCATTTTTTTCCTGTGGGCACAATGGCACGCATTAAAAATGAAATTTAGTTGCTTGCTCTCAAAGTGTACACATACATAACACACATTTAAAAACATACTATATACAACATAACCTACACCCTTAAATATAAGTAACATATAAATATTAATCACTGTCCATCTTGAATACATAACGAAAGGAGGAAGCTTGAGAGTTCACAAGATTAATGCTGTATGGAACAAAACTGTGACTGAATCTGGATGTTCTGCTTTGGATACCACGGAGCCCCCTCCTCCCAGAAGGTAACAAGGAAAACAGGTTGTGAAGAAGATGTGTAGTGTCCCAGATAATCTTACGAAACCTGCTCATGCAACACTTCTGTGCTATGTCCTGGATGGAAGGGAGAGAATTGCCAATGATCTTTTCAGCCATCCTCACCACTCTCTGCACCGCCTTCCTGTATGGCGATTGGAAAACCAGTCTTTTTGATGCTGGGAAAAGTAATTTCTTATATATATAGCATGTCTATACATATGTATGTGTACACTTTTGAGAGCAGGCAACAGAACTTCATTTTTAATGTGTGCCAGTGTGCCCACAGTAAAAAAAAAAAAAGACAATAAAAGTTATCTTATCTTTGGATAGTTTGGTCAGGAGAAAGAGAGTTAAATGGCTCTTTCCTAGTCATTCTCAGAGTATAACTTTAATAATGCAAGTAGTTTTTTAAATTTGGCAAGATTCTGTCTATAGGTGAGGAACAATAAAGAGAACTGTTTGGAAGTAACTCTGCGGGTCTTTTCTGGTTTTGGAGCCTGACAACAGTACATCTTTGCCTAAGCATACTTTTTTTTTACAGTTTTTCATTTTTCAAACAGTTAGTATGCCCTCCTTTCTCCATGTCCCTCTTTGCCTGCTCAGATATCTGGTAACCATAACCTTCATCAACAAAAATTAGTGTTCCACAATGGATGTAATCCTAAACTAAGCAAGTTGGTTGGGTTTGTCCAACATGCTAAGCCTCCAACACACATGCATACACACAATCCTAACCAGGTTTAGGATTGCATCTGTGAAGGTCTTTGCAAGTGTTATGAGATGGTGGCCTCTAAGCCAAACCTGTTTTGCAGTGGTGCTATGAGAATGAAGCAAGAAGACAATATACATGGAACCTACTTCCAGCTGAGGTAGTGGATCAATTATTACTAATTGAATTTGGGATAAACACATGTCCATCATCTGACAAAAATGAAATAAATTAAAAAAAATCTTAAAGGACAGACTCGATGGATCGCCAGGTCTTTTTCTGCTGCCACTTTTCTATGTTTCTATGTCATCTTGAGCATCTTGAAATGAAGCATTAGCCACAAGACAGAGGGACCCAGTTGCAAATGAAGTGTTTTTTCAGCACTGTGCAGTGCTTTGGTATCTGTGCAGAAGAGATCCTTCAAAATAGGTAAGAGTGTGAACACAGCACTTGTTGGTTGAGTTTAGAAAAAGACATAGCTGCTTTAATGAGTTGCTTCATTGTTGCTTTAATGACTGCCAAGAGTTGGTGGATGTTGGCAGAATTTAATATATTATATTCTTTTCTGTTTACAACAATGTGAAATCACAGCTGCCAGTTCTTTAGCTGGTATTGGTCTTCATACACATTGATTTCTTCCCCAAAACCTGGCATGTTGCAATGTATTGGCATTGCATAAGAGAAGATTCAAGTAGTGCAGCCTTTTGTGACTGACCAATGGATATATTGTCAATGTGTAGATTTTTTTAAGCGCCATCTAAAATTCTGGGGTACGGCACCATTGTGCCAATAACCACTGTGACCTCCATGTCTGGGTTATTGCATAATCTTTCAATTTTGATTTTCAGATCTTAATACTTTGCGATCTTCTCCAATTCTTCGTCTTCTATCTCCTGGTATTGCCACATCAATTATTCACTTTTTTTTCCTGTTCAACCACAGCTCAAGTCGGGTGTATTATGGACCAAGACTTTATCAGTTTGTATTTGGAAATGCCACAATATTTTAGTTTGCTCATTTTCAACTACTTTTTCAATTGTATGTTCCCACCAGTTTTTCATTACCAACACATGATCATTTTTACAGATGTTCCAGTGAATCATTTTGGCAACCGTGTTATGTTGTTGTTTATAATCAGCTTGCACAATCTTCCTGCGCAAGCTGAGTATCTGATCTATTGTTCCTTCTCCTTCTTTGCGCAATCTGCACTTTGAATCATTTGATGGTTTTTCAGTTCTGGCCTTGATTATACTAGTTCAAATAGCTTGCTCTTGGCACAGCCAAAATCAAGCCTTCAGTTTGTTTCTTTCTTTCTTTTTTTAAAGTTCCAGTTGTAAGACATTGCCAGGTTTTATCTTTATCCACTTTCCCCTTGATCTTTTGTAGAAATTGGCCCTGTACTGCATTTCTTCAAGCAGGCTGCTCTAACCCAGTGGTGGCGAACCTATGGCACGGGTGCCAGAGGTGGCACTCAGAGCCCTCTCTGTGGGCACGCATGCCGTTGCCCCAGTCCTAGGCCTTCAGCTGGGTTTTATAAAACCTTTTCGCTTTAGGCCTCCGCCACCGTGTGCAAAAAAAAAAAAAAGGTTCAATCAATCAGTCAATTTCAAAAAGATCTTGCAAAGTTGGAATTGATTGATTGAACTTTTTAGTCCCACCCAGTCTGGCGTTACCACCGCAGCCACACCCACCCAATGGGCCACGCCCATCTAATGGGCCACACCCACCCAGCACCCGACGATGCATAAGTGGGTTTTGGGTTGCAGTTTGGGCCCTCCTTCAGACTCTAGTTCCGTAAACTTCTGCCAGCTTCTCTGCAGCATCTCTTTTTACATTAAGGATGAGGGTGAGGAAATGAGGGGCGTTTATTGCTAGAAGAGGTGATTGTGAATACTACATCTAATTGCGAAAAGCTTTAAAAGGGCTAATACTTTTGTTCCTTTTAACTCCAGGCTTTAAGATGAGAAAGGAACTAGCCAGGAGCATCCATGGGAGAGGAGTTGTCCAAAAAGTCAAGGTGGCAACCATGATTGCGTGATTAAAGCCTTGCCCCATTTGCATATACATCCCATTTAATTTAATCTTAATTTAAGTTAAGTTTAATTTAATTTAATTTTTAACTAAAATTTGAGT